GGTGGGTGGGGAGAGATTAACTTAAGAATTTATATGCACATATGCATAACCCATGGACACAGACAACAGTGTGGGGAAGGCCTTGGGGGGGTGTGGTGTTGGGTGGAGGGGGTCAAGTGTTGGAAAAAAGGGAACATCTGTAATACCTTTAAACAATAAAGATAAATTAAAAAAGAAAACAAATGTAAAGGCCACAGCTTAAATGAAACCATAAAATTTTTATTCCTGATTTTGTCTGTTTCTCCCCATCTTTGTCATATTCCTTTTGTTTTTTCCCTTTGTGTGTCTCTATGATGTTCTACCCTTCTCCCTTCTGTGTCTCTACTTGGCTCCTCACTTCTGTCTGTCTCTACTCTTGTCCTGTATTTTTGGCATTTCTTCCTATGGCCACGTGGAATTGAAAAACATTTTAAAGACCTTATTGTACTTTATAAAGATTTTTTATTCCTGTTCTTAATTTAAAAGCAAGTCAGTGGATTATTTTACATTTTCCTCTTTGTAGTCCTTTATTGATTTTGGCCATTTCTAATTCAGGGGTTCCCCAGAGAAGAAATGTTGCCTATCTTACATATTGCCATTCAAGACTATCTGAGTATCAGTAAGCCTGTCCTGTTCCAGTTGCAAGAGTTTACCCTTGCTTACATTGCAGGGTATGGCCAATCCAACATCTAAAAAATCAACTGCAAAGTGGCTCGATCCCCGGCCCTGGTCAGGGCAGGGTGCATGCGGGAGGCAACCAGTCCATGTGTTTCTCTCACATCGATGTTTCTCTCACTGTATCACTCTCTTGCTCTCTCTTGCTCTCCTCCCTTCCACTCTCTGAAAAGCAGTGGAAAAAATATCCTCAGGTGAGGATTAAAAAAAAAATCAACTGCAAAATTAGTTTGACTTTTAGATCATAGTATTTTAGCTGTTGAGGGGTCCTTAAGATGCCATTTAACCTTAAAGGTGAGAAAACTGTGACCCAGAGAGGTCATATAATTGCTCAAAGCCATGAAGCTGGTAAATGACAAAGCTAGGACTGGAATCTGGACTCAGAGAAGTTTATATAATGCAAGATTGATACTTATTTATATATTGGAATGCTCTACTAGGCCTGGGGAAAAAAGAATTCTGTCTGCCAAAAAGTCAGGCATAATAAAGTAAGAAATAATAAAGTCCCTTAAAAACATTAAAAAACTGTAGCATTCATTTTTTAACTGGTGCTGGGGTTGTGTCATTTGCATCTTTCGAATTCTTCCTTTATGAGTTACTGTTTCTCTATGCCTTTGATGAGGTCTTAATGTTCTTCAAAATCTGCATGAGCTCTTTGAGTAATAACGATATTATCTTTTATCTAAAAAAAAAAAAAAATTAAGTCCCTTAAAAACATTAAAAAACTGTTGGTTATATGAGTACAGGATCCTAAACTGTGGAAAAGAAAATGTGTCTGGCATGTGCTTGACATCAGAATGTACATGAGTGTTTATACAAATCTCTGATTTGTTTGAATAGTTCTTGATCTTACTGCCTTTAATATTTTTCATGAGACTAGTGGCAGCTTTCTTAGCTTGTTTGCTATTAGAAGTGCTGGGAGAATTTTGTCAAGTTTAGCTATCACACAGGGTGTAGTGACAGAACTGATCATGCAAGAAGTAGAAAGAGGTAATTTTTCTAACCATATTGTACAAGGTAATATGAGGACTGCTAATACTGTTTCTTGATTAATGTATTGAAAAAGATAAATTCTGAGGACATTGTAACTGATGAAAAGAAAGGACATTGGCACCACAAGAAGAACTATTTTACTAGAGTGATTCTTCTTGAAATCAGCCATGAATGAACAGAGGCAATGGGAGTATCCAGTACAGTCTAGAAATTCAAGTAAAAAGGAAATGAGATGATAAGTATGACGTACAAGGAAGCTTCACAAACACAGGATTACGTGCAAGCTTGTTCTATAAGAATTGGATGTCCCTTAGTGTGTTACCAAGGTCCTCCTGATTGTCCCCACAATATGGAAGTCAGACTCAGGAACAGCTGCTACATGGCCCTGGTAGTGTCATGTGAATGTGCTTAATTGGGCCTGCGCTGTACTTTTCACAGTCTGTGAAATTAGACAGTAACCCTCATTTTCTCAAAAGAAAAAGAACCCTTTCCTTAGGAAAGTTCTAAATTTCTACTTTGGAAATTTATTATCAGGTACATTTTGTATCTCTTAAACCATCTGCCTTTCTCAATAATGACTACCACAACCTTTGTTCAGACTTCCCTAATTTTTCATCTGGACCCTTTGCCACCATATCCCACGTTGCTGCCGGAGTGATTTTACTAAATGGGTTGTGTTATTTTCTGTTTAAAACCTTCCAGTGGCACTCCATAATCTTTAGGTAAACTTCAAATTCCTTAACATCTCATGTAAAGCCTTTATGATTCAGTCTTGCTAACTTCTGCAGCCTTATCTGTAATTAATCCATGTGCCAGCCAAAGTCACTTATCCGCCTTTTCCTAACTTCTCATGCATTTTGAGCTTTCATTTATGATATCTCCTTTCCCTGTAATGTTCCCTTCCTAACTTTCTCATTCCTTACTTGCTTTCTTCTCCTCATTTCTAGACCTTGCTCAGGTATCATTTCCAGGGAGTCTTCCGTGATCACCTCCTCTTTCTCTCTGTGCTCCATCTTGAACACATATATTATAATCTTGAAATAGTTGTCTGTCTTTCCTATTAGACCATTGACCACTTGAGGATGCAGATCATGGTTTATGTAACTTTTATCTCTAGTATTTAGCACAGTGTTTGTCAAGTAGTAGGTGTTTGATAAATATTTATTGGATAAGTAAATCTCTTTAAAGGTAAGAAGATAATCTTCTGTAGTATAATAACCTCCCCCATCTTGTGGCCTTGTAGGATAGTTCCACTAAAAACCTTTGAAGTCTTCTTGTCTCTTTGTAAATTAAGAGCACAATTGATACCACCTTTATGTACTTGCTCAGTTATTTTGATGAATTAAAGCTGACTGCTGGTTTTGTCTCAGAACGTGGGAGTTTCCTGCTTCTGTCCTAGTACAAGTCATAGACAAAGTAGAGAGACTGATTCCTAGGCTTGTTTGTTCATTGAAGTTCAAGTTACTTACTAATAATCAATACAAATTTATTGAGCATTTGTAACATGTCAGGCTCTGGACTAGGTGCTGGATATTAAAGATGACATAGGTCCTTATCCTCAAAGAAATGATAGTCTTATGAAAAAGTTCATCTATGTAGAGTTTTTGAGTCATTGTGTGAATGAAGTAAAGAAATAATAATGATAGTCTTTGAATTCTGACATACATGGACAGACAGCCAATGAATGAAGCATTTCTTCTCTGGTATTGAGGATATTTTAGTAGAAGCTGGAGCTTGCGGAAGATACTACTTTATGAACCATTAGCTAGTAAATAGTTTGTAATTTTAATTAAATAGGATTTTTTTCTAAATTCCTTTGCTGTGGCTCCTTTCTCTTCTGAGGTGGCTGATGACAGTCCTGTAAGATACCAAAATAATTTTCTAGAAATAGATATGTTTGAGATATGTATATACAAAAAATTCAGAGATTACAGATTTACCCTTAGATGTGATGCTTTCTGATTTAATGCTTGATATCTTTTCTTCTTTTCTGTTCATTGTTAGTTTATAAGTTATTTTTTATTAGGGAATATCATTCTTAAGTTCTTTCCCACGTAGTTGCATGTATGAACTGTGGAAGCTCACCATGGCTCATTGATGGGAACACAGAGGGAATAATGTTAATTACATTCAGAGTGGGTAGCATTGTCAGTTACTCTTCTTTGTTTTACAGAGATGAACGAAATCAGTCCATCATTGTAAGTGGAGAGTCTGGGGCAGGAAAAACAGTCTCAGCTAAGTATGCCATGCGCTACTTTGCAACTGTAAGTGGTTCTGCCAGTGAAGCCAATGTTGAGGAAAAGGTCTTGGCCTCCAACCCCATCATGGAGGTAAGATAGCAGCAGCAGCCTTGCCTTCTTACTATATTCTCTTGTTAAGAAACATGTAAAAAAACCCTGCTTGATACAGCACATGTGAGAAAGTCTGGGATCTCCCAGCCACTAAATGTAGGAAAATACTTCTTTACATGTTAGTAAGAGATCTTGGAGCAGTAAATATTTGGGAAGGTAGATATTTTGAGTAAAGTTCAGCTGTAGAGGCATCTACTTTATTTAATAATCCTGCATTTTTAGCCTAGCATTAAATTATTGCCTCTAAATACCTGGGAATGGTACTTCATTTCCTGAAGTTTCTTTCTCCTACTTAATTGGCTAAAATCTGTTGTTCCATGTTCTAGACTATAAGTTACTAATTTCCCCTCAATCCTGGGATCTTATTTAAGTTCCTTCCAGAACATAGGATTCACTGTGTTCAAGCATGAATGAGTTTCATTATTCCTTTACCCACATTTCATTTTCTGTACTTAGTCCAACCTGTTTAGCCATATAATTTTAATTTTTCCCCAGATTTGAACTATAAACTTAAGTCATGATCTTGTAAACACTTCCCTTCTTGTTTCTGTCAAGCATATCACACAATTTTAGGTTTGAAAAAGAAATTCAATAACTATAAATTCTTGAGAAAGGAAGAACTATGAAAGGCTTTCCTTTTAAAAGTGGAATATGTATATTAAGTAGAAATGCTTATGCCAAAGAAAATGGACCTATTTGTGTGAGAGTTTGAGTATTTTAGGATTGATAACTAGAGAATTATTTGTCTAATATGATTCTAGGAAAGTTACATTTTTGTAAGTACCCCATTAAATGGAGAAAAAGAAGTCTTATTAAATGGAGAGAAATTAGTTTGCAGAAACAAACCTTATTAAAAGTTGAAGTCAGCATACTTTATTCCTGTTTTTTCCTTTGTCAAGGCTTATTTGTCACCCAAACACAGATGGAGTTTAGAACTGGCCTCGTGCACCCGTGGTACAAGTGGTTTTTGCAATAATCAGCCCAGAGGTAATTGTGCCTGGTTTGCAGTGCTGTGTGTGACACTTCAGAACAGATGCTGTGACCCTTTGCCTATAGGGCTGCCTCCTAGAGCTGCAGGACTTCTGTTCTTGGGGAAGTGAAGAGGCCTCCTGGGCTGGGTGCACTATGGAAAGAGAACTGGAAAAGTTTTCTGAAATAGCATGGACAGGAGGAAACAGAAGTTTGTGCCAAAAGAGAGTAGTAAAGATTTTAAGCAACTATTAAGATTTTGAAGAATTTAAGCTATAGTAATGGAGGCCACTAGTATTAATACCAGGGAAATTCGACCTTTAGAGCCAGTTTTGGGATTTGGCTCAGGAAAGAACAGGGCTTTGCTTCCCACCATTATTTGGGACTGTTTTTGTCATGACAATGAGTTCTTGATATTTGACAATAGTTTAGCCCATTCTTAGACCCTAATGTTAGAATGTGCTAGTCTTCACTGTGCTGGCATCCAGGAATCCCATCTTTTCTAGGCGTGGACTGTATAATAATGTAAGTCTGGAATGAACCTGCTGGAATATGTCAAGTTGAAAGAAATAGTTTATGACCTCTTTCCAAAAATAGCTTCATTGGTTTTTCTATAACACAGATTTTAGTTGTGTTAGTAGGAGTAATATTGAAAATTTCGAATGGCCACAGAGACTACTTTTAAAAAAATAATATATCTTTATTGATTTCAGAGAAAGGAAGGGAGAGGGAGAGATAGAAACATCAATGATGAGAGAGTCATTGATTGGCTGCCTCCTGCACACCCCCTACTGGGGATCGAGCCCGCAACCCAGGCATGTGCCCTGACTGGGAATTGAACCGTGACCTCCTGGATCCTAGGTCGATGCTCAACCCCTGAGCCACGCCTGGCCGGGTCAGAGACTACTTTTTAATGTGCTCTTATAAGGAACTTACCCTGCTTGCTAGGATGAGCAAAAAAGGGTAAAGCCATCAGTTATGCTTAGCTACTTCCAAATATAGTGTTGTTTAGTTTTTCTTTAAGAATTTGGAGAAAGAAAATTTGGTAAAGAGAGAACTAATTTTCAACAACTATCAGTGAAGGCATCCCAATTTGAAAGATTAAAATGGAGTATGGCCTGAAGAATGGTGACAAAGGGTTTATAGTACAAGAAAAACACTCACATAGGTACAATATTGAATATGTGGCCCAGAAAATTTGTAGCTTTAAACCTGCTCCAAGACAGTGTCTCTGTATCAGAGCCCTTTCCTTTGATATAGAGAAAGGTGAGTCCGGTTCGCCAGTGATCTGCTGACACTCCTCATTGGATAATGAGCTTTCTTCATGGTTAACATCACACCCCAGTGGCTAATGGGACTTGCGAATTATCCTTCAGAAAGCCAGCTCCTCACGCTCAGCGTGGATGGGCTCCTTTTGCAAAATACAAATGATGTACAAAGAAGTGATCTTTTTGCTCTATTTTATCAAATTTTCTCTCTCCTGGAAATTTTTGTCCTAAGATGGGGACAGGGAAGATTCTTGGAGCACATTGGGTCTTTCTTAATTGTCCTTTTTCATCTTCAGTAACTGTAGTTGAAGAGCTTCATCTCCATTTAGTAAAGAAGAATAAATTACTCTACATTTTACTGAAATCAACAGTAAAATCAAGACCACAAATCTCCTCCTTTCCTTTAGCAATTTCTTGCTGATTGAAATGAAACTAGCATTAAGGGAGGTTGTTGTGAATACAGCACTTATAAGGCAGAGGAGACAGGGAGAATGGACAAAGGTATTGTTTATATATAGAACCTTCTTTCTTTTTTCTTTTTGTTTTTTTCCCCCTCATTCAAGGATATTTTTCCATTTTTTAGAGAGTGGAAGGGAGGGAGGGAAAGAAGGAGGGGGGAGAGAAAGGGAGAGAAACATTGATGGGAGAGAGACATCGATTAGTTGCCTCCTGCACACTCTTGACCAGGAATTGAACCCTTGACCCTTTGGTGTGCGAGCCGATACACTAACCACTGAGAACACCGACCAGGGCTATAGAACCTTCTTTCCATATCAGGTTCAAAGCTTAGAATCATAATGTTTTATTTTTTAAAAGGACCCTAGAGCTCATCTATATCCTAGTCACTTTATACTTGGGGACACTGAAGCTCCTCAAAGGATTGAATGATGGCAAGTTGGTAGTAGGGCCTGGTGTGATACCCAGATCTTTAGACTTCTGTTTCATTGGCTTCTTCTCCCATTTTTTGCTCTACGTATAAATACCTTTTACTCAAAGACAAAGGAGTATGTTTCAACCCTTGCCTACTCACTGTCTCTTCCCATTGAGTGTAGTATTGTTTGGGCAGGTTGGCCATGCTAACTTCCATTCTGAGGGGAGGGGAGAGAGATGCCATATGGAAGGTGGCGTAAGTAAGGGCGAGAGGGGAAGCTGTGGCTCACCTTTCCCAACTTGCTTAGATGCTGGCAGGAAAGTACTTAGGACAGTGCTGTGTAAGCACTAAGTAATTACTGCTGCTGCTGCCAGTGCTGCTGCATGTAACCCCTCATTTGCCCTTTGACAGAGTATAGGGTGCTGAAAGAAAATTCCACATTTATCATTAACATTCTTTTCTAAACAAAATAAAAATAGTGGGAATATACAAAGATTTTTTGCTGTGTTTTTGTAATAAGAAGGGGAGCCCTGGCTGGGTGGCTTAGTTGGTTGGAGCGTCGTGCCATCCACCAAAAGGTTGTGGGTTTGATTCCCCGTTGGGGTGTGCACGGGAGGCAACTCATCAGTGTTTCTCTCTTACATTGGTGTTTCTCTCTCTCTCTCTCTGATCAATAAAAAAGCCTATCCTCCAGTGAGGATTTAAAAAAAAGAAAAAAGAAGGGGAATATTTGAATAAATACCTTTATTGTTAAATTATGTTAGGCTATATTAGATCCCCCTGTTATTTTGCTGGGGAGGTAGCATTGAATCATCCTCTCCATTGAAAATGTTAATCTGAAATATAGCAGTATTCTCCCTGCCAAAACAAAATAGAGCAATACCTGCCCTGCATTTCAGAGAGCAAAAATACATTTTCTTTGATGGAGTAGAGATTCTAATGTGTTGACTTTTGTGACTGTGTTACTGTTTTTATCACTTATATTTGTATTGCTTTTTTTTTTAACACTCCAGAGCATTCAGACCTTCCTCACTGCTGTGGTTTCAATATACTAATCTTGATAGTCATAGGCTTTGCACAAGTGAAAGATATTAATTTTATGAAATTATCATATTAAACATGTAATATATGCATTATATGAACACTTGCTTTTCTAACTATACCATGTTTTTTGCTTGGCCTTGAAAGAAAAATGGTACCTAAATATTACCTAAATCAGAAAACAGAACCTATGCCATTTTAATTTTTAAGATTATATTAAAAATTTAGAAGGAAGTTACATTCTCTGCATCCTGTAGCAGATGTTTTGCAAGTTAGATATACCTACCAAAATCCAAAGCCAAATTTTACTGTCTCTGGTTTCTGAAGATGGTTTTGAATGGAGGGAGTAATTACTAATTCTCCACAAGTAAGCAGCCCAGCTGGACTTTTTTGTTGTCACAGGATAAGCTGATGGAAACGTCTGGCTAAAGAGATCCTGAACATAGAACAACATTTTCAGAAGAATACTAATTTGGTCTATCCAGCTTATTTACATAAAACAGACTAAGTTTTTAAAGAAATCAAAACCCTAATGTTTAACCAAGAGGGCCTGTGCCTTGGAAGCTCCCAGTGCCATCTCTTCTGTTTCTTTGCTGGCATGAATGAACATGTTCAGATTCCACCAGTGTCGCATGAAGACCTCCCAGCTGCAGGTTCAGGTTTAGACCTCCCAGCTGCAGGTTCAGGTTTACTGTTCATGAAAATAATTTGTGTGAGAATAACAAGGCAGATGCAAACTATCAGTATATACCTGTGTGGCTGTGCAGTGAATAAAACATACACTTGTGCCTGCAAAGGCGACATTGGTTCTGGTCTTAAAAGAATCAGTTTTAAAGGGCTGTGTTCTGTCCTTTCCCTGAACCAACTCTGTAAATGCCATGTTATGAATTGCACTTCCAAAAGGTGGTTTAACTTTGGGTGATGGGCACACAGTGCAATAAATGGATCTTGTATCATAGAAATGCACACTTGAAACCTATATAACCCTTTTAACCAGTGTCACCCCAATACATTTATTTTAAAAATAATAAAATCTTATTTTTCCCCCTTGCTTCTTAGTCAATTGGAAATGCTAAGACAACCAGGAATGATAATAGCAGCCGTTTTGGGAAATATATTGAGATTGGTTTTGATAAGAGATATCGAATCATTGGTGCCAATATGAGAACTTACCTTTTAGAGAAATCTCGAGTGGTGTTCCAGGTAAGCTGGGCATGTACACATATATACTTGTGTTAGGTTGCCAGATTATTCCAGAGCTTATGCTTGCTGGTTTGCATTATATTTTCAGATGCTCTTGAGTGTATTATGACATTAGTGCAAACCACACTTGGACTGAAACATAAAATGATGCCTGTCAGAGGCAGGAAAAACCCATTAGACTAACAATCTTTGGGTCTGGGCACTAGTGTAGGTTTAATATTTTTTATTTTTTCCTGCAGATGCTTGTAGGATAAACTTAGTTAAGAAGAGGTGCTATTAGTTTAGTCTTGTCTGTCATATATCTCAATTGATAGGAAAGACATTGGTTTATGCCTTCAGTGAGCTACAGTTTGAACTCAGTTTAAGAAAAATAAATTATCCCTGTTCTCTTTCCTTTTTCTTCTCCTCTCTTAGAATATGATACTATTCAGATAGAATAATGAGGGTTAAAAAAATCTTCACAACTTATTAGTGAACTACTGTCAAAGAACACACCCAAGTTTATATATCTTTGCAGGATATTCTTCACATTTCTGCTTCCGGTACTTTTTTATCTCTAAGTGGGAAATACTGTAGGTGTATAGCATGGGTAGGCATACATTGATATATTTACAGGCATACTTAGGAAATGTCTTCTGATCATTGGAAAACACCTAGTAGAGAGCTGCTGCTGCCCCACTGCAGGCTGTGAGATCAGGGTTTCTGTAGCCCCTAATTGGAAGCCCACTGCACTGAAGTTCAGATGCCACTGGCACTGCCATGTCGCAGTACCTACAATTTCCATTGCACAAGTCTGTTATGGCTTTGAAAGTGCCTGGAACATACTAAGAGTCCTGAGTTTGGGCAGCCTGCACCTACCCTGGCTCTACCCTGGCTTTGACTTTGGGGATGTGCCTGATTTGTGGCCACCTAAAGTATAATACCCAATTTATATAATGAAGCAATAGTCACTCTTCTCCATTGTTTTAATATGTAGGTACACACAAAGCAATGTTAACATGTAACATATATACTTGTATAGGGATTTTTAAAAAAATACTTAGAAGCCAAAAGAAAGAATGGGGGAAATATGTAGATATAAGAGAAAATTGGGTTTAAATAGTACAGATTTGATTGATAAGTAAACAATTAAAGGTTAAGTGGGTATGGTTACCAGAGGCTAGTAAGGGCTTAAGACAGAATGTTAAGGCCTAATCCTGTCTTATCTAGAGATGTTGAAGTTATTCTAGTTGTTCCCCAATCCCCAGGACTAAATAATATTGAGAATATTTGGTGTGTCAGACTTAGTCAGATGAGCATAATTGATACTGTCCTTCATATACAAAGGACCAAAGCATTTCGTTAGTTTTTCTAGTTATCTGTGAGCCAAATTACTCAGTCTTTTGTCTAATCATGTTTATAATCATTTGGTATATTGTTAATTTGTTCCATGTCTTCTGTTCCTGTAATAGGTTTTCTTTACTTGACATCAGCCCCCTTTGGGCATCAAACCTGACCTTGGCCTTGCTGTTTACTTTAGTCAGCTGAATACACTGCAGAATTCAAGGATATGATAATAGAGTACAAGGATTCAATTTTGCATGAATATTATTACAGTATTATTATAACTGTATTTTTAAGATATATATGTAGAAAAAGATTCAAGAAATACTAAGAAATTATTTTGGACTTGTACATGATTTATTTTCTATTTTATAAAATATTTTTATTGATATTAAAAAATATAAGCCAAAATACAGAAGATGTAGTGCATTTATGAATTTTGTAAAACAACCACAGTAGTCTAGTCTAAATTATGGCAAAGACAAGATACTCATTCAAGGTGTTAGGAAGTCCATTAATCTAAGAGACACTGTGAGAAAATATTAAGTATTCCAAAAAAATGGTTTTAGCTTCCCCTAAAGACAATGATCTCGTATGTCAATGGCATATGTCAAGCTGTTCACGAGTTCAGAAAGCATTGCTATCAGATATTTTATGTTGAATGTGACCAACAGATGCACACTCACCCATTTGCACATGGCTAATAAATCATAAGATTTAGTAATCATAAATACATATTAGGAAATTTTGGGAAAGGACAATTTATTGCACTGAGGTAATTAAATATTAAAATTTTAGCTTAAGATAGAATTTTCTGAGTTTTAGATTAAAATGCTGTCATTGAAAATTCTTATTTTAAAGGCAGAAGAGGAAAGAAACTACCATATCTTCTATCAACTTTGTGCCTCAGCAAAGTTACCTGAATTTAAGATGCTGCGATTAGGTATGAATATGGCATTAGATTTATTGCACTAGTATTGTTTTCTGTTAAATTATGTTAATTATGAGTTGATAAGCTTACTTGTTCTGGAGGAGATTATCTCATACTGAAATATTTATGGATGATTGGAATATAACTGATTTAGGAAAGGACTGTTCATTTCACCAATTAAGATAAATAAACTATAAACATTTTACTTTATTATTTAATTTTTAGTTTTGTATCAAAATATAACTGAAAGCACAGGCATTGGAACTCCTGACTCTATACACTCAACTGTGCTATCATTGCTCCTAATTCAGAGTATAGACAAAAGGGTAGAAGTCTTTTTCATAGGCTGCAGATCTTTTATCTTCTTTCTTATTTGCAGGAAATGCAAATCACTTTCATTACACGAAGCAAGGTGGCAGTCCTGTGATTGAAGGAATCGATGATGCGAAGGAGATGGCACATACCAGGCAGGCCTGCACTTTGCTAGGTAATGTGATTTTATTCTTGAGCTCTTATGAGCAATAGCTTTTTGACTCATGCAACATTTGTTTGGAACATTGGCTTAGCTTCATGTTAACTCATGTGTATTGTTGGACAGCAAATGGGCACAAGGTTTTTTTGGGGGGGTGATGGGAACTGTTCTAAAATTAGATTGTGGTGAACGTTGCACAACTTTGTAAGTTCACTAAAAATCATTGAATTGCATACTTAAAACGGAGAATTTTAAGGTTTGCAAATTATCCTTCAATAAAGCTATTTTAAAACACATTTGGGACAAGGGAGGTAGGACTAACTCTGCTTAAGTTTTTGCAAAATCTAAAGCCTAGAGATAAATGAAATGGGTTCCTATACAAACTCATATTTTGCAGGGTTGTTTTTTTCTTTTTCTTTTTTCTTCTTAAATATGTTTTAATTGATTTTATAGAGAAAGGGAGGGAGAGGGAGAGAGAGAAACATTGATGAAAAACATCAGTCAGCTGCCTCCTGCATTCTCCTTACTGGGGATTGAGCCCGCAACCCTGGGCATGTGTTCTTTTTTTTTAAAATATATCTTTATTGATTTCAGAGAGAGGAAAGGAGAAGAGAGAGAGACAGAAACATCAGTGATGAGAGAGTCATTGATTAAGCCCACAACTGGACATGTGCCCTGACCGGGAATTGAACCCCGATCACCTGGATCCTAGGTCAACGCTCAACCGCTGAGCCATGCCCGGCCAGGCTGGGCATGTGCTCTGACCGGGAATTGAACCAGTGACATCTTGGTGCACCAGATGCAACCAACTGAGCCACACCAGCTGGGCTAGGTTTTTGTTTTGTTTTGTTTTGTTTTGTTTTGTTTTGTTTTATGTGGCTGAGTTGGCTGGATAACAAAACAATGTATTACCTGTAGTTTATTCTGTTTTTGAAATGCACTGTCTTGTTTCTGATATTTAAAAAATATTGGGTCTACATATAAATAAATAATTCTTTAGAACTGTAATGTACGACTTCAATGGTAAATTATTTATTTAAGAACCTCAGAATATGAATAAATTCAAAATCATATGTTGGTAATTTGAGGGATACCCTGAAGTGAATTAATTTAACTTAAAAGCATTGCTAATCAGAGTATGGTCCAGGATGACCCTAGAGCTTGTAAACATTCAGAATGTCAGACCTACCTTAGACCTCCTGAATCAGAATCTGCATTTGAATAAGAGCCATTGGTGATTCATCTGCATATTAAATTTTGAAAAACACCGCTTTAAATAGAAAATTAGAAATTTGAAAAAGCCGTAACGCAGGAGATGGCAAAAACATTCATTATAAGATCAGTGCTCAGTTCCCCTGGATATGATTACATATTTGGAAATAATTTTACTATATTTACTTGCATATACGTATATCTAACATTCTGGAAATTCTTGCCTTATTGAAAAATGAAGCCAGATCTCATAAAAAGCCTAGAGCTGTTCAGCTTTTTTATCCCCCCTCATCCTTCAGATCCTGCTCTAATGCTGCAGGGTGGAGTACAGCAGCATCCTGAACACTTCTAAATCTTGGGGTCTCTTTGACTTACACTTGGTCTGTAGTTAAAAGAAGTTATTAAATAATCTGACTTAAAACAACCTTATTGGGCTGCAGTTTGCATTTGGAGTAGATATAAATAGAAAAGGCAATCATGTTAACAAAATACTTAACTCTAGTGTGTGACAATGATGATGATAATTTAGCACTTACCACGTGTTATATGGTATGTTAAGTATACTACGTGCATTTTCTCATTTAATGTTCAGAATCACCCTTTGAGAGAGTCACAGTTATTCCCATATCTCAAATCAGAATACAGAAGCCTAGCAAGGTGGTTACCTGCCCGTATGAGATGGCAAGTTGGGAGCAGAGCCAGGCCTTGAGCCAGGTTTGTCTCACTACACACCTCATGCTCGCAACTATGATGGAAATATTAACTATGACACATTATAATGTGCACAATATCTGGCAATATTGAAAAGTTAAAAGGCTTAAAATTGCTATAATTGTTTAGTTCCTGTTTTAAAATTAATCACTTGTTCATTTACTCTGTTGTTTCAGGAATTAGTGAATCTTATCAGATGGGAATTTTCCGAATACTTGCTGGCATTCTTCACTTAGGTAACGTTGGATTTACGTCTCGAGACTCAGACAGCTGCACAATACCTGTAAGTTCAGAACAAGCCTAGTGTGATGGCAGTTGATTTGTAATTTAGATTTGTTGATTTTTTTGTGGAAGAAATATATTTGAATTCTATCTATTAACATTATCAGAGAGAGAATTACAGGTGTGAAATCTTGAAGTGAAAATAAAGACATAGGGATTCTAATCCATAGTGCACAGTGATTGTGTGTGTGTGTGCGTGTGTCTATGTGTGTGAGAGAGAGTAGGAGACTCAAACTTGTATGCATGTCTCATTTGTATAAACAGAGGTGAGAAATAGATGTGAAAGTTGGATTGGCGAGTCTAGAGAGAAGGGTTTATTTGGCACGAGTGCCAAAAATTTAAAACTTTGATTTTTGTCTCCAGCTGTGGAAATTTCATATGGTTCAAAAACAATTGAAGAAACTGTTAGCAGTGGTTACTCCTGGGAAGGACTAAATGGCTGTGAGACGGTGTCTCCACTGTGCTTTACATATTCTTCCACACACAATGATAACTGCACACTGAGAATTAAAGCCCCATTTCATGTGTGGAAACATTGGTTTGTTTGTTTGTTTGTTTTGGAAATATTTGTTTAAACTAACAAACCTGACAGTCCAAATTGTCCTCATTGGACATTTATGATTTGCAGTGTTTGCTAATCACTACCATCAAAGATAACACACACACACATATATTTATTAGGTATATTTTAACTTTATTAAAATAGAGGCAGTTTTAATATAATTAATTGCTTTTCCATCCTGCTGCTTCAAAGATTAAAGTAGAAGACAATCTTGAGATTTGTGTTTTACTCTTCAGATACCTGAGTTGATATTAGCAAATTTACATGTAGATTAACTTATGTGACTTACATTTGGGTAAGTTCAACTTTAGTTTTGAAATATGTGTGTCAGTATCTCTGGGTTCAAGCCCAACTCTACTATTTACTCTGTGTTTTTGGATAAGTAGCTTTGCTTCTTTGACCTCAGTTTTGGAGTAGGTGCTCTGATTGACCTTAATGCTGAATAAATTATATTTTAAATACTCTAAAAATATAAGAACCACTCAGAGGCTAAAAACTGGGTAAAAATAGGAACTCAGAGAACAAAGCAGAACCCTGAAGCTAGGACTCACCATGAGGGAATTTGCAGAACCCAGTGACCTTGAGCTTTGGTTTTCATAGCCAAGGGGGGTGCAGAAGAGAAAAGATAGTCTAGGACTTACATAAACAGGGGAACCAATAAGGGAACCACTGCCTAAAACAGACTTTAATCGGGGAGCTAATAATAAACTTGTCCACCACCCACTTCAAGAGTACAAAGAAAAATTAATCAGGCTCAAGCCTTAGTGCTAAGTAGAGGGAGAAAAAATAGTTCCCTAAAAATTTATAGCAATGAACTGACCATCTACATACTCCCAGCCTGACTCCATAGTTCCCGGATGATCCCAGAAAGCTACATACAGAAAACTTAGCTTAAATTTGTCCTGGAATGGCAGTGCTCTAGATGCCTGACAGAAGCAAATGCAAATTTACTTTGGAGGGTCCACCTTCAATAGAGGCCTCAATAGAGTTGAGAAAAATTATAGGAAATATTGACTCATAGTTGAAAATCATAAATACCATGATGAAACAAAATAGAAGGAGCTAGATAAAATAACAGAAGAGCAGAGTCCAACCTACTAAGAAAGAAATTAATAGATTTGACACAACTAAGTGGAGAGCTGATGAGCTAGAAGATAGATGGGAAGAAATTATCCAAAATTCAAGATTGGACTCAGAGAAGAAGGGGTGAACAATGAAGACAATAGTTAAGAGAGATGAAGGGTAGAGTAATAAATTTGAATTTTAATCTAATGAGAATTCCTAACAGAAAGAAAAAAGAGAATAAGGCAGACATAAAACATTTGAAGAGATAATTACTAACAAATTTCAGAATTTGTCAAATGTCACTAAACAGATTTGGAAAGTCCAAAAAATCCCAGTGAGAATAAATAAAAAGAAAATCCACCTCTAAGCAAACCATAATGATGCCAAAGGCAGGAGAGAAAAGTCTTAAAACAGGCAGGGAGATAAGACGTATTAGTCTTGAAGAAATAGCAATTAAACTGATAGCTCATTTTCCAACTTGTAACAGCGTGAGACAGCAAACAGTGGACTACTGTCTATTGTTACAGGGTAAATTACTATTCACTTAGAATTGTATATCCAATAAAAATATCTTTCTGGAATTAGGGAAAAATAGAAGTGTTTTTAGACAAATAGAAACTTGTTAGAATTTGTCGGCAATAGGCCCTCACTAAAGAAAATATTAAAGGACATCATTTAGGTAAAAGGAAAGTGATCCCAGATAGAAGATTTAAAATGTGAGAAGAAATGATGATTCAATAAACTAGTAAAGTACAAGCAAATATAGATAAAATTTGATTCATTAAAACAACAACAATAATAAAAAATAATGAATGGGGCTGCACAAGATAGCACTCTCCACAAAATACTTACTCATTACAAAGGGAAAAATAGTTATCTTTCTAGTGGAGAAATCTAGTGGACATTCCCTCAACCAAGCGACCACAATGGACATGACCAGTAATGGGACCATTACTGGTCCCATAACTTCTGATATGGAGCACTGAGGAGAGTGCAACATCAATCACTTATCTGGTGTTTCTGGTAAAAATGCATGACCCAGATCTAATCGTGAGGCAACATCATACAGACCCAAATCAAGGGATATACTTTTTAAAAAATGTTAAGATCCCCCTGGCTGGTGTAGTTTAGTGGTCAGTGTCAGCCTGTGCACAGAGGGTTCGATTTCCGATCAAGGGCATGTGCCTGGGTTGCAGGAGTCAGGGTGCATGCAGGAAGCAACCAATCGATGTTTCTCTCTCACATTGATGTTTCTATCTCTCCCCATCTC